GCGGCGGTCTGCAGCTCAAGTGGCGCGCGCCGCGGTGCCGAACGGTGCCTTCTGTCTCTCTCGCGCCCCGACAGTGTGAGAGAGACGACGAGCGCGGCTCGGAGTCAGCCTGCAGTGCGGTGCGGCCAATCAATGTTGGCATTGAAATCAATCCCCGCCAGCCCGGCCGCCCCGCCCCGCCGGCCCGACACGCCGAGCCCGTAAAACTTGGCGCCCGCCTCCCCCGAGAGCGCCGTGATCCGGGGCTTACCGCGAGGGCGGCGTGGAGTCTGGCCGGCCGGATAAAGATCGTGGTCAAGGCGCCGCGGCCACAGGGACTGTGTCAACGCCTGGCGGCCGAGGGCGCGGAGGCGTGCACTCTCAACCACGGGGACCGGGTTTCAACCCCGACCATTTTCTAGTTTTTTCAACAGACTGCCCACGGAGCCTCTGGTGGCTACAACGGCCGGCCAACTCTCCCAACTCCGAACTTGCCTTTTTTTTGTGGCGGCTTGCTTAGCCACGTCGGCGGCACGAGTCCGTCTTCACTCCGCCCTCATGAGCAGATCGTAATTGAATTTGGAGCCCGGCCCCATCGTGGCCGGATGTACAAGCCAGAGTGACAAGCGGACGGCCGAAAGTGCAGTCCGCGGGTGGAGGGGGAGGGGAAGGGGTACTCCTCGGAAATGCTTTAATTTTCGCTCGCGTCCCCGCACAAACCTCGCCGCGCTCCGGTCCGGGGTGCCGCGGGCTGCAGGCTGCCGGGGGCGGACGGGAGCGGCCGGGGCCGTGGAGTGGATGAGAGTGGCATCTTCATGGCCGTGACGTCCTTTGCAAAAGTTGCGCCGAGAGGCTGTGCGAGGCTGTGCGCCTCGGGGACCGCGGGACTGCCACTAAACCGGGAAGCGACGAATAAACGCCTTCACGGGGCGGCGAAAGTGCGCGGCGGCCATCAAAGATCGCACGTGCCCCACAGTGGGCCAGAAGACCGGTGAAGGCGGCCAAAATTCTGGACACGTTTTGAGCTCCAAAGTCGCTAAGCAGGACTCGAACGGAACGTGCGACCCCATCAATGGATTCCTCGTTCGGAGAGCAATCCATTGGTGGGGTCACACGCTCGGTTCGGGTCCCATTTAGCGACTCTGGAGCTCAAAAAATCTCATTCAACGAACGTTAATGAAGGCAGATGATCCATCGCGTTTCACAACTGCTGTGATAGCCGAGAGGTTAGAGACGTGGGATCGAGTTACCGCAGGCGGGCGTTCGAATACCAGCGTCACATACGTTTTTTCGACTTACTATCCTAAGGGTGGTGGTTCGAGGCCATCCGAGCGGAGCCGTGTGCAACACACCCACATGCCGGAGGTTCGACTCCTAACAAATATTTCCATTTAATTTTACTGCCTCACCCAGTGCGGTTGAAACACGTGAACGTGCGCCCACTCCGAGCGTGGGACGTGGTGGTCCAGGGAGTAGAGGCGTCGGTTCCCAATGCTAGGGTCGGCGGTTCGACTCCCCCAACTTCTTGCGAAATTTTGACCGGGTCGGTCGAGTCCTGTTGCGTCAAGAACCCACCTCACGCCGGTCCCCTCATCATGGGCCGTGGTGGCCGAGAGCGTAAAGTCGTGTGATCCCGGTGGCGGGGTCCGGGGATCGAATCTCATCATTTCGTTACATTTTTCGACTGCCTTCCTCCCACTGCAACTCAAACCCGTCGTCCAACACGCTGCCAGACGTACAAGCGTGATAGCGTAGTGGTCAGAGTCACATTCACCTGGCCACTCCGCTGTGGGTGTCTAAAAAGCAATCCGCTTCGGCGGGTTGGCCTCGGCACTGGAGCGATGGAGTATTTGATCCATCAATCCAGACCATCCGGTGTGTGGTTGCGGGTGGTGCCTCCTTGACTCGTCGGGGAGGCGATGATAAGTCCTTTGAAGCTGGCCTAAAACGCTGTATGTTCGGTACGGGAGCGCCGGACAGTGGGGGTACCATGGGGTACACAACCAACCCTACGAAAACAAGAAGCTCCCACCAAACCTCTTCTCTGTCTGAGTCTCTCTCTGTCTCTCTGTCGTCTCACTCTACGTCCCGCCCCTCAAAGAGCTTCGTACTGGGTGCTCTCACCCAGCTGCCTGAGCTTTGGGGTCCTACTGGGTCCCCCGGCGAACGCTTGGGTCGCTGACGGGATTAACCCCAGGTACCTGATAGCACCGGTTCCCATCCCGAACACCGAAGTAAAGCAGGAGGCCTCCCCATTAAGACTGGGGAGGGGGTGTAGAGTTCAAATTTTTTTCTTTTCCCTTTCAAATTTCTCAGTCAATATTCGTTCGGTTTCCTTATACGGGGTAGTATGCGGGCTCATTCCAAAGATAGTAATTAAAATTGTGTATGAAACAAAATATATAGACCCGAGCGAGGTGGCCGGTGTTGGTACTTTGGTACTAGCCGTGCCGAGCTGTGGCCTGCACCGCCCGCCGCCGAGCCCGAGCTGGCCCGAGTGCCCCGGGCCGGGCCGAATCGGGAGGCATTGTTGCGCGACACCTTCATGTGTATAGTAGTTTTAAGTATGTTTCAAGTGTGAAGGTATCATCTGCTAAAAACGCATCTTGAGTTTTAGCCCCCTTCACGGTCTTCTGGCCCACTGCACGCCCCCTGCCTTTCACTTCTAGCGTCGCTTGCCGGCACGTGTGTGCCCCACCGGGCGGCGCGGGGCGGGACTTTCAGGACGAAAATTAAAAGGAAACTCGGAAATGGAAGTTGACCTGCCGCTGCTGTCGGAGCTCGCCGCGTTTTCCATTAATTACGTTGCTTTGCTTTTTGTTCGCCGAGGCGAGGCGAGCGGTCAGCGGCTGGCCGGACGGGCCGGAAGGAACGAAAAGGGTTATGCAGAGAAACACGAAGCGGGGTAAAGGCGGTGACGGCGCGGATCGTGGTCCCGCCCCTCGAGTGCGAGAGAGACAGAGCGACGGAAGCGCTGTTTCGGAAGCAGTTCCCTGCGGCGCGGCGCGGCGCCACCCCCACGCGGAAGGACTCAATGAAGGGAGGCCCGCCGTGCCGGCTGTGCCACGTCTGTGCCTCGGCCGGGCCGCCATCCTGACTTTATGGTTTATCAGGTCGTAAAAGCTGTGCGGTCATCTTTTCGGCCTCACGGAGCTCCGCCGCTCCGCCAGCGGCGCGTTAGGTCCGTTCGCATTCACTCTGTTTCCAACGCGGTGCGGCGGGGCGGGGTTGACCCACACGCCCGGCTCGGCCCTGGAGGGGGAGGGGGAGGGGGGCAGTCCTAAATGGGCGGGCCGCCTTATACGAGCAGCCAGACCGGAGCGCAGGACGGGGAGGACGGTCCCGGGGGAAGATCCCCGGGAAGGAAGGCCACCGAAGGCCACGCACTGGCGTGACACTCACGTCCGCAGTGTGCCAGCGCCGCCAGCGCGCCCCCGCAGCCCGTCGAACGAGGCCCTGACACTGGGGCCAGCTGCACCATCAACGTGCCTACTCAAATTTACAACAACGAAGTTACCCGCCAGCCAGCCGAGGGGCAAACCACTTCTTTCAGACGCACTTGGTATTTTTCAAAGCGCATTTGGTGTCAGGTCACTTCTGCCAGCGCTTTCTTTCCGTGTAAGACCGTGTTTTTCACTAGCAGCGCTTTATGAATTTTTTTCGCCCTGTTTTTTGGGCCTCTGCGGCCCCCATCTTGGGCGAGGCCGCGCCATTTTCGCCGGCCGTCGCCCGCGATGTAAATGGCTGAGCGATGAGTGTGCACGAAAGCGCAAACACACACATCACCGCGGATGAGGAATGGTGGGTCAGAACAAAGGCGGAACACAAGAATCTATTGACATTCTAGCCGGGGGAGGGGGAGGGGGGGTTCATCGTCGGCGTGATGCGTTCAATGTTGATATATCGCCGTGGTCGGGCTTTGTTGTTAAGTCAACACGGCCCGGCGGAGCGCGCAGCGCACAGCGGGCCGCAGAGACAGACAGCCGGGGAGGCTGTCTGATGCTGATCGAGACATGGCGGTTGTCAGACGGAGTCCTCGCTGGCTCGACGCAACCACAAGACAGGGCCGAAGCACTCCACTAGGAAACCAGGCCTTTGCCGCAGAGAACCTGATCTCCTGAGTTCCGGCACACTCTCGCGCACCTACCTTGACACGACGCGCCAACATAACCTCAAACTGATTTCGAGCCGTGGTTCAACTTCTCGTAACGGCCGCAACTGTCGTTTCGGTACGAACAGCTTGCTAGGCACACAAGGATTTACACCACGAAGCCCAATGAGGGTCAGTCAGTGCGATGGCCTGCTGTAGATTCATGTTACCTAAACACCACAAGCCACACTCGGCTCGGCTGGCCACGCTCTGCCTCACCGTGCCGTGCCGTGCCGTGCCGCCGTGCCGCCGCCAGGCCGCGCGGCGGGGCAGGGTGCGTTCGGTTGGCCTGCCTGCCCGTGCATTGTGGTTGGCCGTCGCTGGAGCTTGGTCACGCCGGACGTGTGCCAGAGTGTGCGTGCGTAATTATTGCTCTGCGCGTGTGTGCGTGCGTGTGTGTTTGTAGACAGTTTAGATGGCGGCAGTGCAGGCGGAGAAAATTCACCCGCTTGTTTTGCGGGCATATTTGTGTACGCCTGCGAGTGTGTGCGTGTGCTCGCGTTTGTGTGCCTTCCTCATTAGCGCCTACCGCGTGGTGCATTTGCGGTGTATCATGGAGACAAGACAGCGTGCAGCATTCTCCTTTGGGCGGACGTTTATCAAACGTCAGATTCTGAAAAGGGGGAAAAAGCAAGGCCGTAAACAGCCCGCTGTGTTCCCCAACGCGCACCGTGTGCGGCCCGTCCGTCTTCCAGTGTGGCGTGGCGGGTCTGGCTGTCTGCCCGGCTGGGCTGCGTGCGAGTGCCCCACTCACCCCCCACTCCCGCCCCGGACGCAGCCCCGAGTCGGCACGACAAGAATGGGGGCATTTGACAACAAACACGGGTTTGCTGTTCGCATCGTCGTAACGGATGTGTCTTGTGTGCCGCAGGAAGACCATCACGCTGCACATCATCGAGGAGGGCTGCTACGAGAAGGACGTCGACTTCCAAGTCAGCTTAGGCGACCCCCGCATCTTGGGTAAGCGAGACTCGACAGGCGAGCAGGGCTCCACTCACTGGTAAAATAACGTGCTGCAGTTGTTTTAATCCGAACATTAATTTTATTTCACCTCAAGGCGAAAACTATTTTCAAAATACAGATCATGATCTCCCTCCTTGTTAGCTGGCAGTTTCGTCGGCGTAATTACCAAGTTGCTGTTTATTTCTTCCTCTGTCGATACGAAGTTGATCCAGCCACGCGCTGCGGTCGACACTAGACACTGCGTTGTGGCCGTGGCCGTGGCCGCGCCGCGCCGCCGGCAAGGCCATGCACATCACGCCGTCGTACAAGCCTTTCGCAAACCCCTCGCCGCGCGGCCGCTCAAACACCCGACCGCGATCTGCCGCCACCCTGCCGCCATTTCGGAACCCTGCGCACGTTGATGCCTCCCTCTCCCTCTCCCCCTGCCCCTCTCCCTCTCTCTCGCGGACATCGCCTGCATGGCAAACTCAAATCACGCGGCTCGGCGGCCTTGGCGGCCTTGGCGGCCTCGACGGCCTTGGGTCCGCGGATATGGCGGCGCTGCCTCGGGTGTTTGCGCGGCCGCCGCATACACGGCGCGTAGAACAACAAGTGTACAAATCTTGCACGAAACTCGACTTTAGATGTCGTCGATATTTTCACATTCCGTACAAACACTCGCCCTGCAAACTGACTGGCGAAAAGTAAAGAGTACACGCCACCTGGAGCATACACGATGTCGTATAGCACGTTGCGTAGTCAGTGCCAAAAGTATCATGCTTTTGTTTAGAGTGAACTTGCAGGTCTCCGGCGTCAGTCTACTTGCAAGTGCGCTCCTGCTTAGAGTGTACTTGCAGGTATGCTCCGGGTAGAGTGTACCTTGTAAGCTGTCGAGTTTGTCGACCCTCTTTGAGTGCACGCAACACTTACAGTACAACACACTCCAGTAATCACACTGATGTACAATTTGCTGTATGACAAACTAGAGCCAAAGAGACTCACAGCGGCACTGCAGTCAGTCACGCCTTGATAATGACCCTTGCATCCCAATGTTTCAGATGAGGAGGACGACGCTGTCCCACAAGTCGCAGGTACCACCGCCTCCAACACTGTGTCTGAGTGCCTTTGACGTGCGCTTCTGTAGATAGCCACACTCGATTGACTCACGTTGTGTGCGTGTACAAGCGTTGTCTGCTCAACTCAATGGCTCAAACTTATTTTCATTTCTTTTTCGCTATCTACGTTGCATTGTTCTTTTGTTAACGCTACATGTCGTTTCCCTTTCACGCGCTTTTTTCATCTGTTTTTGACACATGTTTGGAAATAACACCGCATGCTGGGGGAACCCAAGAGCCGCGCACGAAAAGTTAGCGCGCGCGGTATCAACGGCAAGTTGTTGAATGAAAGTACTTTAAGTTTGGAGCCATATGTTGTTCAGCCGGCAATGGTAGTTTGGGGTTTTGTAATTCCAGGCTTTCTCTCTTATCTTCTCTGTCTCTCTCGCTGTCTCTGTCTTGCGATAGGTTACACAACAGGTCCTTGGGCACCCCCGAGCCACCGCATGACGCTTCGTCTTACAGAGTGTCTCACGAAACCTGCTGTTGCTTGGCAGTTCCGTAAACGGGCTGAGTCAAGGAATGCTCGAACCCATAGGGCCAATGGCACCATGGGATTGGCAGTTCTAGACGCACCCCTGTCTACGGGTTGAAGAGTGTGTTCGTGAGCCAACCCTGAATCAATGAAATTTAGCCCTGAGAATATTTAACTCAGAGTTCCTCCAATCGTTTTCATTCATTGAACGATACCTTGTCTGTGTGTGGGTACTGTTCTCTGTACTCCGTAAAGTTGGATTTTCTTTTCCCCTTTCTAGTGCCCCTCACGTTTCAACATATTTGTGCATGATTTTTATAGCACTATTCCGTATACCTGACATTAAACAAACATATCAAAAAACATATCCTAGATTAAAAGCAACTTCCGCCCCCTCTAAATATTGAACAGTGTTCATACACTGCAATCTGATAAACAGCCAACATCGCGTCTCCTTAACTCAATGTTAAGCCGACGCCCTTCTCGTAGTTGTGTTAAGTGTTTAATGACGTACATTTCTCTTCGTAGGAAACGTAGAAGTTGATTGACAATTTAACCTTCCGCTTTTCATTGAAGGTTTCCGTACACGATGAGACGGTAACGTAGAGCTTTACCTTTTTTCTATTCAGCACAGTAATGACAGACAAGCACTGATAATAGGGGGAACGTCCACATTCTACGTGACGTCAGAAGGGTCGCGTGGTTAGTGAACGTTCTCCCTAAGGTTCCAGTCCCAGCACTGAGTCCCCTCATACCGTATGTGTGACTCTGTACATATTTGTTTTTTTTGTTTTAACGTATCAATCAAGCTTCTTTTTCTCTCGACATTTTGCTTTCAAAGTTAACAAACTTTAATGAAACATAGGGACACGCTAACAAAACTGCCTCTGGCGTGCTTTTTTTAAAAAAATAACTGCTTGACAAAGAGAAAAAAAAAATAAAAATATTTGAAAAAGACAGCCAGAGAAGCGCGCGTTGTTCCGCTTGTGCCAAAGTGAAGATGCTTTCATTTTGTACCATGTTTTCTGCTTATCATGACACGGAACTGTTTGAACCTGTCCAAGGCTGTGGTGACTTTAGAGGGCCCCTCTTGAGGCCTCTGCCCAACATGCCGTCCCCCAAAATGATTCAGCGCGTTTCTGGGGTGTGGCGTGGCCACGTGGCCTGGCTGGGGGTACATGGGATGAGCTAGGTGACGTCTAAAAGGCTTGTTAGCAAGTCGTTCATAATGGATGGCTCTTCCAAGGCCAGCCTCTCTCCAGGGCCGCCCCTCCCCTCCCCCTCCAGTCTCTGCGGCTTCCGGGGGACACCTGTCGTGGCGGCGAAGGCGGGAAGGCCGGAAAGGGCACACCTGCAAACATCCGCCTCACGACAATCGCCGTCCTCTTCCTCCTGTCCGCCCGCTATTGGCTTCGCGGCCTCGCCGGCCTGGCTAGCCTCGCTCGGGGCGCTCGGCCGACACACTTGTTTGACCAGCGCGCTTGGCCCGGAACACACCGAGGGAAGCGCTGCACGGCGCTGGCAGTGATGTCCAGGGTGTAAGGTCAGCCGCGTGTGCACGGCCGTCTGGGCGAGGCACCGCCTTGCTGCCCTCACAATGCACCGCCCCACTCCTTTCCCAGCTGCGATTCCATTTCTGGAACAGGGTACGTTCGGGAAAGCCTTTTCCAAGGCCCCCCTGTTTCGAAAGAGCGCCCCATGGGAAAGGGGGGGGGGGGCAGCATTCAGTGCGGTGCGCATCCCTGGAGCCGTTGCGGCCGTTCGCTGCGGCCGTTCGGCGGGGCCGTTGTCGTTGGGTGCAGTGCTGTGTTCTTCCGAGAGAGTGCGCCGCGGAAAGGAAGATACACGCCCCGCGCACCAGGCTTCTAGTCACTACACTGGGGCCCACAGTGTGTGAGCCCCACACACTGTGGGCCCCACCTATCGCGCTCGTCCACGGGGCCGACGAGGGCGTGGGGGTGGGGGTGAAATTGTCCGCCCCGGACCACGTGCGCTGCGCCGGGACGGGGCCCGCCGGGGGTTGGAGCTGCCTGCCTGCCTGGCTGCCTGCCTGGCTGGCTGAAGGCGGCGACACTGGGAGGCCTCTCTCCTCGCGACGACCTTGAAGGGCTCCTCTCCTCGTCTTGCGAGGAGGATTGTCAGCACGCGGTCCTTCTTCCACCACGCTTAATTAATGCACGCACACACACACACACATCTTACTTTCTCTCTCACTCGAAGGAGAGGCGAGGTCCACTTGCCGAGCCCCGCGCCCCTTAAACGCGTGGCAGGGCGTAAGGTTACAGGCAGGTCACGCTAGCGCGGGGGCCGCGGAGGCGGCAGGATCAAAAAGTGTGGTGGTCTGGAAATGGAGCACGTAGTGTATGGACGCTCCCACCCACGCGCGTGTTTTTCCACCTCCGGCAACTTGTTCAGCCGCTGTAAGGGGAAGGGGGGGGGGGCACCCCGTCCAAACTTGGCGCCGCGAGGGGTGCGGTGTAGGAGGTGGTGTCGACGATATGCCTCCGTCGTGTGTATCGCAATCTCTGACTTTCTGTCCTTTTTTTTTTCGGTTCAAACGTGGCCGAAGTTGGTCCTCGGGTGGGTTGCGGTGGCTTGCCGGCGACGAGAGCGAGCGGACGTCGATTCCTGCCTGCTGCTGCGGAAACTTTCTAAAGTTTCCAGTGTGGCGTGGCGGGTGTCTCATTGTTCCGACAGCATAGAGCTGCGGGCGATTGGTCGTGACACTGTAAATAGAAGCGTGCTAGCGATGTGTGCAGTCGTCGGGCCGACGAGCATGCAAAGGGTGCAGGGGTTTGGGACGCCCCGGCCGGCCCGGCCCCGCCGGTCTTCATTTCGCGGTGTTTACGGGGGACTCGTGGGGGACCAGCGCCGCCAGCGAGCCAGACCGTCCGGGGGGCGGAGAGAGAGAGCCTCTCGCTCTCGCCGGCCGAGTGGGCACCCCTCCCCACCCCTCTCCGCCCCCTCCCTGCGGGCAATCCGTACTCTGTGGACACATCAACAGGGACCCTGGCCCTGGCCTCTGGGCCCTCTGGGCGCGCGTGGCGGCCGTCCCGGCGGTGCTGGCGCGCTGGCGGTCCTGCAGCCCCGAGGTCGTCAAGGTCGCCCTAATCCCCTCCGCACTCTGGCTCGGGTTCTGACGCCACGCCGCCGTGCCGCCGTGCCGCCGGTGCTTCCAGAGCCGCCCGGCCGGGCGGGGCGAGGAGGGGGGCGAGGCGTGCAGCGGGCGGGCTGATTCGGGGCAGACCTTCGCACAGTGGGCCAGAAATTCCGGACGCGTTTTGAGCTCCAGAGTCGCTAAATGAGACTCGAACCGAACGTGTGACCCCACCAATGGATTGCTCTCCGAACAAGGAATCCATTGGTGGGGTCACACGTTCTGATCGAGTCCTGTTGAGTCCTGTTCTAACCTACCCTAGCCTGCTGGCCCACTGTGCCTCGTCGCTCTGGTCGCTCTGTCTCTCTCGCTCGTGGGGCGCCGCACGAGTGCGAGGGAGACGGCGTTCCAGCCTACTGCTGCTACCGACCGCGCTGTGGTTCCCTTTCACCCGAAAGCAATAACCCCGCATTCAGACGCGCGCTGGCTGCACTCGCCAACAGTCCAACAGCCCCCTGCGGCCCGGCCGTCCTGGTGGAGTAGAAGAGGAGGGAGCGGAGCGAGAGTGGAGAGAGTGGAGCGCCTGCCGTCGGGCAGTCCCGGGTGCAGCGCTGTCGGCGGGCTGCCTACCCTCACGGCGCCAAGCACCCAAGCAGCCGGCTGGGCCATCCATACTCCTCACACGTAGTAATTGCCTCCCACGTTGCAGCGAGTGCTCTTCCTCTCTCTCTCTCTCTCTCTCTCTCTCTCTCTCTCTCTCTCTCTCTCTCTCTCTCTCTCTCTCTCTCTCTCTCTCTCAGCGCGCCGGTCGAGTCGGCGCCGTTTCTTTGGCCCTTTGAGACGGGCGGCGCGAGGATAGCTCAATGACCGTCTGGCCGGCCCGCAGTCGCGCAGTCGCTCTGTCTCTCTCGCACCCGCCGCTGTTTGGAACCGGCGTCGGGCAGGCCGCGGGCCGAGTCGCGCGAAAGACGAATGCGCGTTGTAAACGGGCGGACCTCAGCGCCGCAGTGTCTACCGCTGCGGGCTCAAACAGCGCTCTGTCTCGCTCGCTCCCTTGTGGCGTTCCGCACGGGTGCGAGAGAGACAGCGCGACGAAGGCTCGAGTCCGCTCGGAACGCTGCCACGATTGGCGGGCCCGGCGGGTCGGGTCGGGTCGGGGTGTGGCGCAAACGGCAGCAAAGTTTTTGCGCCAAGAGAGACAAGGACGAAAGCGGTTTGCCGAACGCTTCGCTGCTTCGCTGCGCTGCGGATGATAGCAGGCGTGGATGCGCGCTGGCAGGGGGTGGGTGGGTCTGGTGGGAACGGGCCGGCCTGGTGGGCTGGTGTGGGCGGAGCGGTGGGTTCAAATCTGGGTGGGAGTGTGGTGCGGTGGGCTCCGAGGGTGGTGTGGGGCTGCGATGAGTAGAAAGTCTGGCGTGCCGGAGAGGAGCCAAGCCGAGCGGGCTAACTTTTTCCTCGGCTGTAAATCACCTAGGGTCCCAGCCTATACGTAGTTAGGTGCGGATGGGGTGGGAGGGCCCGGGCTTTTGGCTTGGGCCGCGAAACGCCACGAAGAAGCACGCCGCCGTGAGGGAGGCGCGGCCGAAGGCCAGAGCCAGGAGCACCGCCAGCCAACCGCCCCGCCCCGCCCCGCCCCGCCAAGGGGATTACGGCGGCACGGCGCGAAAAGCTTGACGGGGATCAGGGCGCCTCCCTGTCTAGCCTCTCCGCGCGACTTCGGTCCACTAATTACTCTTACCTGGGAGCTGGCGCTGGAGCCTCCAGGGCCTGCAGGGCCTCCAGCGGGGCCGATGGGCTGTTCATCAATCCGACGCCTATTAATTTCACGCGCCGGCAGTCATCCGCAGAGGGGCGTGGCGGGGCAGTTCGGCCACGCGAGGCGTGTTCGTCGTGCTTTGCGGTTTGGCAGCGAGTCGGCGCATCATTTCCCGCATTTCCCGCATTGCCTGTCCTTGTCTGTCCCGTGGAGCGACTGCCGTTCGCCGCTGCCGTTCGGATCGCTCGGCACACACGTGGGGGTCCTTCGCCGCGCGCGAGAGAGAGAGAGAGAGAGAGAGAGAGAGAGAGAGAGAGAGAGAGAGAGAGAGAGGCGGGCGCCACGCAAACATACAAACGCCGTTATCTGGGCCGTAAGGGATGCGAGGGCCCTTTTACTGCAGGCCCTTCCGCGGCGATGACGCGCGGCCTTCGCGAGCACTAAGACGCCATCAGCGCCGCGGCATCGCCGGAGAGCTCGCCGCCACTGGAGAGGGTTTAAAAAGGCATGCGCACCCAACGCGTCAACAAAGTTCAAACCACAAAAAAATCGGAATTTTTTCATCTGAAGGTTTTTTTGACCTTCCAGCTCTCTCTCTGTCCTTGTCTGGGCCGCATTGTCCGCTGCCTCGCGGCGCCTCTCTCTTTCCAGCCATTAGCTAACTGGGAAGAAGCCGCACCCGCTGCACTCGCACTGCCGCCTCGGCCTCCGATTTGCGGCTGAGGCCTCGGCCGGGCAGGCCGGCCAGTCCTTGTCGTCGCTCTGTCTCCCTCGCACTCATGGACGAGAGCGACTCTCGGAATGAGTCGAGAGGAGGCGGGGGCTGATGAAATGGAAGCCCAGCTGGGGCTGCAGTGCCATGCCGACGGCATGCCGTCGGCCTCCTCGTCCCCGTCGGCCAGACCACGGCGTGGTCACGGCCCGGCATGCCCCTGCATTGTCTCCCACCGCACAGCGCGCACTAAGTGCATGCAGTGGTTACATCGGCCTGCCCCGCCCCGACAACCCCCATCCCCTGGAGCGGCTACCCGGCGCCAAAGCAATCGGCCGGGTACCTTCTGCGCTGCCTCTGGGCCTTCCGGCCGAGCGGTCTCGGTTTGCCTTGATTTGGTAGCATTGTCGAGCCCCCCTCGAAACTCAATCGAGCAGAATCGGGGGAGGTAGTCTTCTTGGCACACAGCACATTCGTCGCGAACGGGTTCCCCCGGGGTGGGAGGCAGCGGGCACCAAACCTGAAGTTCGACCAAACGATGCCCTCTAAGCTCACCACAGCCTGACCGCCTGACTTGTGAACTCACTGACAGAACGGCAAATCATTCCTCTAAACCCGTCTGCGACAGGGCGACTGGCCCGCGGACTGGCCCGCCCCGTGCACGCCCCGCCTTCACCGCGCCCTCGACGGGCTTGTTGCAGATGACGACTCGGGCAGCAAGCTGCACCGGCAGCAGCAGCAGCACATGCAGCGGCTGCAGGAGCAGCTGCACAAGGCCAAGCAGGCCAACGGCAAGCCCGGCGGCCTGGACACCAGCATCATCCCGGACACGCCGGAGAACCGCATCGCGCTGCTGGGGCTGCCCACCCTCAGCGACACGTTCCAGGTGTCGGTGCGGATCCGGGAGAGCAAGGAGTTCAAGGTGGGTCCACTGCAGTGTAGTAGCGTAGCAAGGCCTTGCTCATTGTGGGACGCGCTCCGCACCGAGTCCCTGGAAAGACGCCCTGGAGGCACCGAAGGGCTTGCAGGGCTTGCAGGGCCTTGCAGGGCTTGCCGAGCGGGGAAAGGGACAAGGGACAAGCCGTGGCGAATACGAGCGCGGCCGCGAGCGACTTTACGAGCGAAGCCCGCCCCACCCCACCCCGCCCCGCCCCGCTGGCCGGGAGGGCTTGCTTACGCCGTGCGCCTCGCACGCGCTCGTCAGCCAATCTCCATTTATTTCCTCAGCCGGCTGTTTCCGAGAGTCCTTTTCGTCGCACTGTCTCTCCATGGCACCTCTCCGACACGCTCCATGAGTGCGAGAGAGCCAGCGCGACAAAAAACGCCTCTCGAAACCAGCCTGCTGCCCCGTTTCAAAAAGGCCGCCTCCGAAACGCGCTCTCTCGCGACCGAAGATTGGACGGCATTGGAGTCGTCGCCTTTCCAGCCGTGATGTACGGGCCTGCTCTATTCCGATTCCGCCAATAAAGCCCCCCCTTCTCTCTCTCCTCCCCCCGCATTGATTTCCCAAGGTGAGATATGAAGCGGCGTCGGACGCGGCGGATTAAGTCCACCGCCTCCCTCAAGGAGTCCCCGCACCGGGCGTCTCCGACAGTGTGTTCCATGAATTGTTGATGTCCGCTGCAGCGCTCATCTGGGCGTCCTGCAGGCTCCTCTCTCTCGCACCCACGGGGCGCTCTGCAGGGGTGCGAGAGAGACAGGCGCCCTCATGGCCCTTCCCTGGGAAGCATGCCAGCCACGCGACGGGTCGCGGGGGTAAAAGGAAACCACCCCCGGGTGCGGTTTCGCTTGTTTATTTTTTTTTTCGGATGTCCGTTTTTTCTTTTCACTTTCCCCTGAGGCAAATGATTCGGGCCGCGACTATCCACGGTTTTATCGACACGTTCATAAAACGTGCGTTGTTTTAAAATTTAGGCGCAATTTTCTTTATTATTTCTTTTTTCAATCTTAAGAATCAGATACATTTCAATAGGGTGGATAACCGGAGCTCATCATTTGTGTCAGGTGCACAGACTAATCTTTTTGCAAAAAAAAAATGATTTTCTTCGGCAGAGGACTCTTCGTGTAAAATAATTGCGTTGTACAGACATTTTTCTGCATGAGTGCAAATTATTGCCAGGGTTGTTATTTTCCATCAACACCCCTGGCGTGTGTACAAAAGTATTTTTTCACGAAAGGAATGGCATGATGTTGGTTTTTGTCTGGAGCATGCATGCAGCCTGTTTTTTTTTTCAAGAAGGGTCTTTGCAATTTTGGTTTTCATTTTTTCTCCGACGAACACACGCTGCCTCACGTGTTTTGCTTCACTCGTGTTTTGGCGAGTGTTTTGGTTGTGTTTTTTCCTCCAGTCGGGAATCGAACCCAAGCGACCTCATCACTAACGGGATGCTTTGTTTTTCAGGAAGCAGTCAGAATCTTCAGCGGCAAAAGTAAAGGAGTACGTTAACGTAGTGTCTGTAGAAAAAAAAACATTGTTCATCCCCGCAACATACTACTGCGGGATGGTACACTATGTTTCAGGCGTCTCACTATGTTCACTTTTAATAGTGTCCAAACTTTGCGGACTCTCAGGCACCACACATCATCGTCGTCTTTCTTGTTTCAGTCATTATGTTTAGGTGTAGAGACAAAACAATTTATCGGACGTGTTGTTACTCGTGAATTATGTTTGTATTATTTTATAGATGTTGAACTTCTTATCCATGTAAATAACTTGTGCATATGCATGCCACCCACTTCCACCTCGTACACCCTTTCCCAGTCTTCGGCATATTAAAATAAAGTGAAACTCACGCGTAGAGGATGAAAACACTGTCGCACAGTCGTTTCAACAGGCTTTAGTGAAGCATGGGAATAATTAAAAAACGGTCTTTGACAAATATTTCGGTGGCGAGGTTCAGGCGCGACAATATCCGAGCCCCAGATAGTAGGCCCCAGGCACCAAATGGGGGCCTTAGGCCTCACCTCTGCTGCCATGATGTCGTCGTCGTGAGGCAGCCGTGGCCTCTCCCACCCCGCCCCACCCCGCCCCGCCCCGCCCCACCCCCGCGGGCACCTGTTGAGCCCGACAGCCGAAGGCGGCACCAAGGGGGAGGGGGAGCTGCCCCGAAGCTGGCCGCATGTACTCAGAAAATGAAAAGCATACACGCGAAAAACGTCGATCGCAATAAGTAGATTTGGAGATAACCGAGAAAAATCAGTTCGGACGGAGAATTTTCAGGTGTCGCCTGAATCGGCTGGTGTAGGGGCAGCAAAACTGAGCCCCCCGGCGCTCCACCCCTCCCGCAATCACTTGATTCACTTTGGGTCTCTCCACTTTCAGTCCCCTGTGGGCAAACTTTTGCTTTCGCCACCCAACTACGCTTTCCAGCGAATTTCAGGGTTGTTGTTGTTTTCCATTCCAGCGGCCTGCGCTGTACATATGCCGGCGAGTGGAATAGCGATTATGAAAAACTCAGCCGCACGCCGCGATGGCACATGGCACGTCCGCCCACTAAACCCGTCGGATCACCGTGAGCACCAGAGGGCACGCACCGACGGCACGAACGAACAGGCCGACGGACGGACGGACGGTCGGACGGACAATCGGCGGAGAGACAAAGACGGACTGTGTGTTTGTCTGTGTGAGTGAATGTGCTGCATGGACGTGACAGACAGAGACACCACGATCCACAATGTTGCATGCAAATTATTGTTTGAGCGAAGGCTGCGCCGCCGCGCCGCTGCTTGCCGCGCGGCCTCTCGAGGTAGACGAGTCTCCCCCACTGCAGTGTGGCACTAACTGCCGCCGTCGCCGCTGTTCCAGAGCACCGTCGACGCCATGATGCAGCGAGGGGCCGGACCAATCCTAGGCACGTCCACCTGGAAGGAGCAGTTCGTGGAGGCCTTTAGCGTCGCACCAGGTAAGTCCACGCGGCCCCCACTTCGCGAAAAAAAAGGCAAGAGGAAAGTTTGCTCCCGAAGCGGAATCAAAATGTTTTCCTCCGAAAGTTTTGTTCTATTTTTTTGTGGCTTGTTGATTGAGTGCGGCGGCTTTCTTCGCGCTCCGTCTGAGTTCTAAAGTTCGCGTAGTCGTTCGGCACCCGATTATCTTCCGGACATGCGGGCCGAGTGCCACGCAAAGCCATGTCGGGGGGGGGGGGGGGGCAGACTCGAGCAATCTCTAATTGAGTTTGTTGACGAGAGGTGGGGCGGCACGGCGCTTGTGGCTGAGTTGGCCGGTGCGGCCGAGGGTGCGGGGTGCGGTTCGGTTCCCGGTAGGTCAGGCCGTGCCGTGCCTAGAGCGGCCCAGAGTTTCCCGGCCATGCTTGCGGCGGGTCAGGTGCTGCGGTACCCCGCCGCACGGTGGGCCACACCAGTGGCGGCGGTCAAAATCCAGGACGCGTTTTGAGCAGAGTCGCTAAACAGGACTCGAAGCGAACGTGTGACCCCACCAATGGATTGCCCTCCGAACGAGGAATCCATCGCTCTCCCATCTTCCGAATGGCAAAGCGTGTTCGGTGCCGTGCGTCGGAACAACCGTCGCAAGCGGCCTCCCCTCCCCAGGCAGACTGCGCGGGCTGCGCGGGCCGCGCTGGATGGGATGTCTCATTCATAATTATTCTCCCGGCCGTGCTGCCGCGCTGCTGGTTGCGTTGCCGCGTTCCGCGTCGGAAGCGAGCGAAAGCGCCTTCCCAGAGGGATTGTCGGAGTGTGGAATGTGGCTGAGAGCCAACCGCTGTAGCGCGTGGGGACCCGCGACCCGCCGCCGCCGCCGCCCTCGCCACTGCACCCGATAACCGGGAAAAGTTAAATCGGAAGCCACTGGGTCCAATCCAGGCCGGCCTTCCTTTAAAGTACGGGTAAAAATGATAGCCTTATTGCGACTCGCCGAACACCGCGCAAAATGGTGCGAAATCATGCGGAGTCGGAGTTAATGGCCCCCCGGATGGTGTACTCCTGGGAGTAATGCCACCGCCATGAATGGCCGGACGGCGCCAGGCCAGCCCGGCCGCCATGCTGCCGGATGCTCGGCTCTAGTGCACTTCCCGGCGTAGTACGCAGTGCAGCGCAGTACCCGGCGCCACATCCGGCCGACGCGGCCCTGTGACACGGCACTGTGACACGGCAGACACGCCACTGGAAGGCTGGAATGCTGGAGCACGGGCTGGCTGAGGGCTGGCGGCCGCGCGAGGCGGCGCAGGCAGTGCTGGCAGACATTGATCGGAAATCGGACTCACAGGGCCTTGTCCCCGCCCCCTCGCCTCCCGGCCGCTAGGCCGCGCGCCGTGCGTAGCAAGCGTAGCAAGCGTAGCAAGACGGAGCGCCTATTAGGAGCGCTTCGCTCGTCGTGGACGGAGAGTCGCTTTCGTCGCTGCGTCTCTCTCGCACCTTTCGGTGACGCCCCATGAGCGCGAGACAGACAGAGCGACGAGAGCGACTCTCGGAATCGGTCTGCTGCCCGGTCTGCCCGGCACGCCCGGTCGCTCCTCCCCATTGGTGTCATAATGGCGTCCGGATTCAATTACTTGTCGGAAATCGTTCGAAAATCACTGTTTGTGACGAGGCTCGGCCAGTATCAGCAGGGAATTAATTCATGGCAATTCATCGGCGCGGCCCCCATGGCGCTGGTGGCGCTGATGGCCTGGCCGAGGCCTGGTCGAGCTAATACGGACGGCAGCCACCGCGATTGGCTGCTTCGCGCTTCGCTCATCTGCGCTGCCCCCCCCCTTTTGCCCACTGAGGGGCCGCGGCTCACCGCTTCGCCCCCGTTAGCGCGACTTCCCCGTAGACGGCCCGGAGTTCCAAGCGCGGCGCGCAAAGGGCGGCAAAGAGAGCGAATTTTAAAACCGAGTCGTCGCGGCGCGCTTCGCGTGTGCCTGCCGCGCTTGCAGCGCTTGCAGCGCTTGCAGCCCCCTCCCTCTCTCCCTCTCACGAGATACGGCGGGCGAGGCGTCCTAAAAGTGGCCAAGTCGTTAACTCACGGACGCCCCCCGACGCCCCGACACCCTCGTCGGCGTCCTTTTTTAATCTCGCTGCATGCGAGTGTCCCCATCACATCGGCCCTATAAATCCGTCCCCTGATTGCCTCCGCCCCCCAGGACATCACCCCTTCCCCCCGGCCCCCGGACAGCCCCGCCCGGAACGCGCGGAGGGGAGGGGGCAAGGCCGCGCGGGGCGGCGCGGGGCGGCGGAGGGCGCGACCCCATTCCTCGCATTGCACGCCCTAATGGCTGAGGGAGGGTGTCCGAGCACGGCCTGCACCACCACGAGGACGTCGACGACGTGTCGCATTGGCTGGAGCAGCGGCGCGGCCTTGTCGACGACGTCCTGGAGCACGCCGTCGAGGCCCAGTTACCAGCGTCCTGGGCCTCGGCGTCGAGAAGCCGTTGCCTTGTTGGAGCACGGCGTGGAGGTCCCGGTGCGCGCCGAGCCAGCGAAGCGGCGGGTTGAGTCAAGAACACGGGGGACAGCGGGGCGGCAATAACGCGACGGCCGCGCACGCACCCCCCCCCCCTCCTCCCCCGACATCGCGAGCAGTCAAGTGCACACGCGATCGGCGCGGCGCACCTCGCGGCTAAACCCACTTACGGCGCACCGCCGGCACCACAGTGGGCCAGAAGACCGGTGAGGCGGCCAAAACTCCAGACGCGTTTTGAGCTCCAGAGTCGCTAAACAGGACTCGAACCGCACGTGTGACCGCATCAATGGATTCCACGTTCGCAGAGCAATCCATTGGTGGGGTCACACGTTCGGTTCGATTCTCATCTAGCGACTCTGGAGCTCAAAATCCGTCTAGAGTTTTGGCCGCCTCCACCGGTCGTCTGGCCCACTGTGCGCCCCTCTTTCGAGCAGGCCGGCAGGCAGTGCTCCCAACTGTAACCTCGGAACGGGGAACGGGGAAACCCCGCGCCTGCACTCTGCATAACATTGTGTGTGTCGTTTTAATTATGCCATGCGCTATATTTTTCTTATTTTCCGTCCTTTTTTTAACGTGCGCACGGGTGAATACGAAACACGGCAGACCTCGCCCACGGCGCCGAAGTGAAGCAGGAAAAAATGTTTTTAGAAAATTGTTTATGTTATGTCACGTCTTTGACAGTGGCACACGCCTCTAGATCGCGGTGCCCAAATGGCGGGTTGGTGGGTTTTATCCGAGGCACGCGAAGCCTGGCGTCTTGTGCAGGTCTCGCAAGGCGCCTTGCCGGACCGCCGCGGGCTGCCCTGCCCCTGCCACCGAGGCTGTCGCCTTGCCCCCCTCCTCCTTGTCGGCGCCGGGAGTGCAATTATTGCAGTGAAGGCGGCGCCTCTGCCTCGCGATGCACGCCATGCCGGAGGAGGCAGCCGTCCCGAAGAGTCGTCGCTCTGTCTCTGTCGCACCCGCGGGAGCGCGAGAGAGACGGGGAGACTTTTCGGAACGGCACGGCTGCACCGCCGGCGGGGTGCGGCACAGCGGGCACAGCGGGCACAGCGGGCACAGCCAGGCACTGGCACCCCAATTAGAAAGGAACCCAGGCAGCGCCAGAGCCGGGCCCGGTCGCGCAAGGCCGAAAAGGGGACGCGAGGGCTCGGCGGGCGGACCCGCGGGATGGCCGCGCCGGCCGGCCGGGGCCCCAAAGACCCCCTATTGTTCTAGCGCAGCAACGCAGTCCGGCGGCGGACTCATTCCGAAAGTCGCTCTGTCTCTCTCGCACCCACACGGGACGGCCCATGAGTGCGAGAGAGACAGAGCGACCAGAGCGACTCTCGGGTTCACTGAATGCCGCGGAGCGCGAAGCCGAGGAGCGGTGAGGCGAGGCGCGCACCGCATCGCGCGCGCTGCCAATGGCAAAACTTGGCGAGGGTTCCTGGCCCGGCCGAGCGGCCGGGGCGGGGCGGGGCGGGGCGGTGTGGCCCAGCGGGCTCGCCAACCGCGCCCTGCTCGATCATCCACGCTCTCTCTCGCGCGTCTCCCACACGCCGGGCAGGTCGGGCTCATTCCGAACGGCTCTGTCTGTCTCTCTCGCACTCATGGCGCGTCCCGTGTATGTGCGAGAGAGACAGAGCGACGGAGGCACCGGCCCGCAGGCCGCCTGCGAAACCGAGGGTAGGCAGCGCGCCCCACTCCCGCGCGTGGAGCGGCTTAGGTTGCCTACGCTGCCGGCGTTCCCCACACTGTAAGGCCCACTCGCCGCCCTGCAGGCCCTGCTCTTCCTCCCGGGCCTCCCTGGCCGCGCAGGGCGGCGCGCGTGCGGTCTTTGTTAGGCCGTCCCTCCGCTGCCAAAAGGCCCAAAAGGGCTAAAGGCCCCGCAACCCGCGCGAGAGGCAGCGAAAGGGAGGCGGCCGAGCCCTTTCACCGACGAGACCCTTTCGATCAGCGGGACTTTCGGCGTCATTTCAGCGTAAATGATCGCGGCGTCAAAAAGGCGCCGGATATTTCAGCTTCCAGGCGAAAGGGGAGCAGTCAGCGCGCGAAAATACGGCCTGTCTACTTTTTTAAATTTTTTTTAAATTTATTTATTTTGTATCTTTTTTTTGCATTTTTACAGTGGTTGGGCAACAGGTCATAGGTGTGGACCAGGGCGCCGTCCCGGCAGCTAATTGTCTCTGGGGTGTCGGGAAGCGGCACGATGCGTGCCCCCCCCCCCCTTCCCCCTCCCCTCGGCACCGCCAGTGCCGTGCCACGCCCTTCTCCAGCCACCGCGGTTCCGCTCCTATGTCCGCCTCTCTCACCGCGCATTCCGAGTTCGAGTGTCTGGCCCTCTTCCCCCACCCCCTGTCTCTCTCTCTCTCTCTGATTCCCGTGCAAAACAGGGCCGTAAAAGTAATTCGAAAAGTTGCCGAGGGCCAAGGGGAAACGAGCTCCCCACAAGAGACCATTCCACAGTGTGCTCATCCGTATGCCGCGCATTTTGTTGCTCCCACTGCTGTCCCTCTCGCTCGCCTCGTTATTATACGCGGAATATGCATCGGGCGTCAGGCCACTGAGTGGCGCTGGCGAGTCGGTATATTGACGTCCGTCCGCACCTCGTGCGCGAGAAAAGAGCATTTCCCCCGTGTGTCCGTTCCGTTTGCTGACGGCTGCGTTTCTTCCTTGTTTGTCGGCAGATGAGGACGAGGAGGGCGGCGAGACGGCGTCGGCGTCGTGTGGCGACTACGTCATGCACTTCTTCACCTTCCCCTGGAAGTTCCTGTTCGCCTTCGTGCCCCCCACTGGTAAGTCCGTGCGGCGATCTCTGTTCGCCGCCAGAGTGTCTTTGTGCAGCCCCGGTTTCCGGTTTCAGGCTTCGGGGAATCCGCGCCGGCCTGTCGCGGCCTGTGCTGGCCTGTAGCACCGTGACTATTCCGTCATCTTTTGTTTGGAGGGCAGCCGCGGCGGCCGAGATGTCTTTCCACCGTTCGACATTGTCTCCTTTCAGGCCCGCTGCTCTCATCTCCGAGCCTTGAGCGACATCACAGAGGGAAAAATGGTGGCGCCCCTTTGCCGGGGGCGCGCCAGGGGTCGGCTGGGGTCGGCCGGGTTGTGTGTTTCAGATTTCACCGCCGTCTGTTTCCCAGTGCCGTGTGCCTTCCAGCCGAGGTGCCATGTTGCGTTTCCCCGCACAATGTTTCAGGACGACTGTTTTAAGCGGCTGGTCCTCGTAAAAAACTCGGCCGTGTCTCAATCGGGGGCGGGACAGTAAGTAAGAGTCGCAAAAACGAACTTCGCTAGCCTCGCGCCATGCCGCTGTTGTGCAGAGCTAGACCTTCGTGTGTGTGTGTGTTTGCGTGTCCCCCTAATCTGTGTGCTCTCTGTGTTAGTCTGTGTGCGTTCACGTTGCCAACTACTCACGTGTCTCCCTTCCGCTGGAAATAACGCTCTTTGATTGTTTGTGTTGTCCCAGTAACTGTCACCAGGGAGTACCAACTTCACTTTTTAAAAAAAAATCAGTTGTTTAACATTTTGTTATAAACGGCGAGGGCTAGCAACGTCCGCGTAGGCTGAGTTAAATGTTGTATAATTCGACGATCCCTAATTTTGCCCTACGCTAGCGCTCGCCGTTCAAAGCGAAAGTTTTGAAGTGTTGTCAAGTTGGCACTCCCTGCGGGAAGACTTGACTCCACGCGGCTGGCGCTAACTGACGTGTCGTGCCGCAGACATGTGCGGCGGCTACGTGTGCTTCGTGGTGAGTATCGCCGGCATCGGGCTGCTGACGGCCGTCATCGGGGACGTGGCGTCGCACTTCGGCTGCACCGTGGGGCTGCCGGACCCCGTCACCGCCGTCACCTTCGTGGCGCTCGGGACCAGCGTGCCAGGTAAGTCCCGGATGGTCCCGGACGACGTCGGGGACGCGGAGGACGGCGTCGTGGACGCGGAGGACGTCGAGGACTGCGCGGCGGTCGTGTGGGGGCAGAGCGAGGCGCAGAGCCAAGCCCGAGCGCGCGCCCCAAAAAAGGGGAGCTTTCCGGGCTTCGGATTGTCTGCTTCCGGGAGATGGAGTCCGGAGCCGCGGAGCCGACGCGCCGACGCGCCACTGCTGTATACACTGCTGAAGCGAATTCCCGCACATCGGGACCTCACGAGTAAAAATTTGGCGCCTCGCAAATTTTGGAAACAAATTTGAACACGCAGGGAACAATCCATTGCGTCTCGAAAATTTTCAAAGAGGCCTTTTTTTTTCTTCTGTAAAATTTGTAATTGACGAAAGTCAACAGTGTAGTGTAGTTCGCGGCTTGTCAATTAGGAGCAAACACCGCCAAGCACCCCCTCTCCGCGATCCACTCCCTCCACTCCCGGAGACCCCCCCCTCTTTTTTCTCTGGAACGCGGGGCTGCCGAACCCCCGCCGACGCGCAGCCCAGGGGGAAAGCCTAGAAAATTCTTTAATAGAATCTTATGGTGGAGGCACTGCTGCCGGCGCTGCTGGCAGTCGCCGAGGCCGTGGAGGTAAGTGGCTGCATGTGTTGTGCTGTGCCGCCTTGTGTGTCGTTCCGCGGAAATCGTTTCCCTCGCCGCGCTCTAGACCGCGACCGCGGGAACCGCGTGTAACGCGTCTGGGTTTTTTGCCGCCTGTATCGGTCTTCTGGCCCACTGTGCGGTTGTGACCGGCGTGGTGGCACACTGGTGGCGTGGCGGCGGGCCGGGGAAGATAAGCGAAATCACGGAGGTGTGTGGCCCTGATTATCGAACGGCCCTATTTGACCGCGTGTGTCGAATGGGGCCATTGCGGCCCTACGAGGCCTACGTGACGGGGCGCCCGTTGATGAGGGTGATAGATCGCGGTGTGCCGAGCATGAGTCGATTAGCTAATCGCGATGGCGCAACCAGCAGGCTGACTCCGCTCGCGTCGTCGTGTCTCCCTCGCACCCACGCGGCACGCGGGACGGCGCACCACTGCGAGAGAGACCGTGTTCGGGACAGGCGCCGCTAAACGCTGTCCACCGGGCCTGCCCTATCCCTTGGAGGTCCTTTGTGAGTGCCCTCCGTCGTTATCAGACCCTTCTCCAGGGCCTCCAGGCCTCCAGGAATCCAGGACCTCCAGGAGGGCGCGCGCCGTCAAGGACTTCTCATCCCGGGCGCGCTTTTACGATAACATCTCAGGGATTGTTTCCTTTCCCTTCTTTTTCCCCTCTTGCCGAAACGAAAAATGGCGGGAACGGCGACTTTGGCGGCGGCGTTGTGGGATTTACGGCCTTGATTACACGGCCGCGCCACACGCCCTTAGCTCACCGCTTGGCCGCCTCGCCGCTTCGCCTCGCCGCCGCTAGGTGCCGCCCGTGTCGCCGCGTCTGATTGTGCGTCCTGTCAGTGATGGAGCGCCCCGGGGCCGTCACGGCCTTTAGGGCCTGCAGGCCGGCGGCAGGGCCGGCGGGGGTCTGGCACGGGGACGGGCGGCTCATGACGACGGTCATCTTGTCGTCCTGGGGAATATTCCCCCAGCACAGCACCGGACTCGAGACGGCCTGCGGGGAGGCGGATGGAATGGGGAGGGGGAGGGGGGCATTTAAGGCAGCAGCCTACGCAGCTGTGCCTTGAGTGGCGCTTGGGGTCCGTCGTAATCTCAGTGTTTGCTCTGTATCTGCCGAATGGACGGAGAGGGGGGGGGGGGGTGGCCTCGTGGCTTTAAAGAAGACGGAGGCGCAAAAAGGGGGACGGCCAGGAGACAGCGGGCAAAAAAAAAGCAACGCGTCATGCTGCTGAATAGCCCTTGCTTTGCTGCTGGGTTGTTTTTTTTAAACGTTTCCACGAATTTTCCTTGGCGTTTCCTGGGCTAGTCTCGAGGGGTTACCCACTCCGGGAATCATGTGTACACTCAGTCCGGGAATCATTCCTAAATCTTTCAAAATTTGATGGAAAATCCTCATAGTTTCAATTTAAAGTCATGGTAACCATGTGATACACACAAAAACATTCAAATACAAAGAAAATTTTCGAAAGTTCTCTCTTTTTCTCAGAGATATGTTCTGGGAATCGCGGGAATCCGGAATCGTGTGTACACTAAAGCAACGAGTGGGTAACCCCTCGGCTAGTCTCCACCTACAGTGGGGTGCGCGCTGCTTCGTCATCCCCGGTTTGTTTGGGCCGCTGCCTCCCTGCCCGGGCGGCCCGGGCTGGCACACCGCAAGCCCGCAAGGTCGCCTTACACGATGGATGCCACCGGCTCACGCAACCGAATGTGATTCCGATGCCGCAACTCGAGCCGACCGACGCGACCGACACGTCAGGCTAACGACCCGCACTCTGTCTCTCTCGCACCTGCACGGGCCGCCCCATGAGTGCGAGAGAGACAGAGCGGCACGAAAACGACTGTAGGAATCAGACTGCAGGCAGCCGGCGGACGGACGGACGGACGGACGGAGAGGTGGCTGGCGAGCGGACGGACAGTTTAGTTCGTAAAGTGTTTTTATTGGGGGGGATTTCGAAATTAAAATGTCAGGGATGATTCAAGGGCAGGCAAGCAGACCGAAGGACAAACAGACAGGTGGGCGGCCGGGGCCAGGCAGGCAGCATGCAGGCAGGCAGCCACACCGTAACAAGACGAACACCGCGGCGGCGGAGGAGGGACGAAAAGCAGAGGTGGAATAATGACGTGTAAGACACACCGCCAGGTCGCCGGGTCGGCAGGCTGCGCGCACACAAGCCGCCCAACCGTCGGCCCGAGCGTGAGCCACAGGCCACAGGAGGAGCGCAGTGGCGCGCGGTGTCCTTTGTCCAGCGGGCCGCGTCCAATATGATGAATTCCTCCGGGGCCCAGGCCGGCTGATTCCGAAAGGAGCGCTCTGTCTCTCTCGCACTGACGGCGCGGCCCGCAGGCGCGCGACGGAGACAGAGACAAACTCGCGGTGGGGTGGATGGCTCGTGGGCCTAATTAAGGCCCGGCGGCGTGGCTACCGTGGCCACGAGATATCACGTCATCACAGCGACGCCGCGACGCGCGGAGGGGCTGACGGCGAGCCTGCCCGGCCTGCCTGCCTGCCCCAGTGGGCTGCTCGGTGGGACGGTAGTTAGGAAGATCGGCAGGCCACGCCTCGGAAGGGGGAGGGGAGGGGGTGGACGGCGGCCCACGGTGGGGCCGGGGCCGGGGCCGGGCCGCGGGCTTGTGGCGTGACTACCTCAGCTCGGGTTGGCCCACCGTGCTGCTGGCGGGGCTGGCGGGGCTGGCGGCCCCGTGAAGGAAAAGCAAAGGAAGCGAGGGAGCGATGGATGAGGTGTCGCGGTACGACGGCCTGGGGCGGACTGGGGTGGACTGGGGCAAACGGGAGGGGGCGGCGACGGCGTGTAGAACACGGCGCCTTACTGCCGCAAGGTGATTGCGTGTGTGCGTGTGTGCGTGTTGCAGGGAAGATGAAGTCGGCAGACCGACCCGAATAAAAGCAATAAGACACTGGCTTTATGGTGCGAACTGAAGGCTGCTGAAGGCCTGGCATGGGCAGGCTGGCGTTGTGTTCGGCCGGCCAGCGAGAATCAGCCCATCGAGGTGAACGTTCGGAGCGGTCTCGGGGTGCGCTGCCGCCGCCGCCCTCGCGGCCTTTACGTCCTCGCCGACGACCTAGATGGGCTTGGCCGGCTTGGCCTGCGGGCGGAGACGTGTCGCCGGCTGAAGCCCTACTGACTGCGGCACGCTGCTGCAGCAGGCCGGTGGTCGAGCCAGGGCCGGCTTGTTCTTCTCGAGGACGGCGCCTTGCCGCCACCGGCCGGCCCGGCCCGCGTTATCCGCAGAACACGTCGGCGTGGCGGTGGCGGCGGTGCCCGTCACGCGCAGCGACGCGGAACATATAACAGGACGGCGCCGCTGCCGGGCGCTGCCTGGCGGCAAATTGTCCACCTTCCCTCCGGCGCCGCCCTCGACACCCTCGACGGCCAATTTGCGGCCACGTCATCCCCGCGCTGCATCCCCGCACTGCGCCGCCACGCCAGCCCCGCCGAGATGCGGTCCGGAGCGGCCACGGACTTGACTCGCTAACTTTTTAAACCGCGTCGAGTGGCGCGGCCAGCGGGGCCAGCGCAGCGTGCACGGGCGGGCCGGGGGGGGGGGCGTAAGGAAGCAGAAGCCGAAGGCGAAAGGCACGGGCCGGGGGGGGGGGCGTAAGGAAAGCAAGAAGCCGAAAGGCGAAAGGCACGGGCCGGGGCTTGGCGGCGTGGCGGCGAAGGGACGCAGCAGGGACATGGGGCTGCAGATCGATGGTGCTCCCCGAGCCCTTCTCGGGGCGGTAGGGCCCTTCCGCGCGTCCCTCGGGCATATGGCATATAGGTAGAATCAAATCCGGCCGCCGGCGACGGCGACGGCATGCCGATGCCTAGGCCCAGGCGGCGCCCTGGCGGCAGGCCCGGCGGCCCGGCGGCCCGGCCACCGCCTGCCTGGCGGGGCAGTTATTTCCTATTGAAGAGACGTCTCGACGTGCATAAGGCGTCCCCGCCCCGTCCGTGCGCGCGGGGTGCCGACTGCCTCGCCCAACGCTTTGCCCCACTCGGCCTCGCCATTCACCCCGACGAAACACGTGGGCATATTGCCTGGGCGGATCCACCGCTCGGATCCTGGGGAAAGGGGTGACAGGAGGGGGGAGGTGGGAGGGGGGGGGGCGTAGCGACGCCTCGCTTCCGCCAGTTCCGTGCAATTTCGTCAAACGATTGACAAAGGACACGTACGTCCTTTCTCTTCTTGGAGGGCTGCCCGCGCGGCGCCACGCCACTGCCGGGGGAGGGAGTTTGGCAACATTTTTCCGCCGTCCGCGTGTCTTGTCGTCGCGTTGTCGCGTCGTCGGGTGACACAACGGCCGGCGGCACTGGTCACGCGGCTGCCCGCGCAGTGGACCAGC